CCCACAAATATCATTCCATCTTCCTCCACTCACCAAAACACAGAAACAACACTCAGTGTTATCACATCGTCTTCCACAAGGCCCACTATTATCACTTCTCCTGCAAGTACACAAAGCACTCCTACACGTTCCCTCACTACAACCATTCCCTTTACCTCTGCTGTAGGGTCTTCCACACTCTCTCCTTTTAGTACACTTACTGGACAATCTTCTGTCCCTATCACCTATACCCTTGGAAGTACAGGTTTCACCACCTCTGCTAGTCCTACCATCAGTACATCGAGAAACTTGAGTACCACAGTTTTACCATCTAGTTTTCCAAGCACATCCCTGTCTACTCTTAAAACTTCTGTCTCGATTCGCATATTGGGAACTTCTCCCACATCCTCAAGTCCATCTCCGACAGAAAGTGTTACTTCAGGGATTACTTCTAGAAATTCAGTATCTACCTCTTTTACCAACATCACCACTTCTTTAACATCCACAGAGGCAATGTCCTCTTCTGCATCTCGTCACAAAGCAGTTAGAGTGCTTACTGCTACCACTAGCTCTTTTCTTTCCTCCCCACATATGGCCAGTACAGAAAATACAGTTTCTTCTGCTGTCACTTTTCCTACTCTCTCTTCATTTCTAACTACAAGAACTTCTTCAACAACCTCATTTCTCACAAGTACTCTTACTGAAACAACCCCCTTTTCTATTATTACTTCTACGACACCATGTCCAGAATCTATATCAATTACTACAGTCTCTTCATCACCCACTACTCCGTGTACTGAAATAGATTCCAGTATTGAGATTACTTCTACTCCCACCATCCCATTGTCAACATTTCCCTCTGCTACTGAGATGGCCAGCTCTCCTAGTTCAGCCAGTATGAGAACTCTCCTTCCTACACATGTGGATGCTTCTACTTCCATTCCTCTTGAGGCTTACCCCACTAGCTGGCCCCCTAGTTCTGTCATCACAAAGACCATACCCATTAACTCAGTTTTGTCGAGCACACAAAGGCCCACTAGTGAGACCTGGATGAGCACCAACTCTGTAACCACGCCACGTATTCCTGGATTCACTAACCTCCCACTCACCACAAAGCCAAGCATCAGCCTTCCAACTGACATGATGACTTCAAGCAAATTGGCATATCCCACCCTGCCCACCAGCAAGACTTCAGAAACATCAGTGGCCACTACCCAGCCTCCCACCACCCGTACGTCACCCATGACAACTTCGACCTCTACTCAGATGACTACACAGTCTAGGATGACCACCACCCCAGGTTGGACCTCCTTCCTTCCTGTTCTCCTCTTTCCTTCCCCTGCTAAATTCCTGTGCCATCAAGGTCAGACCCTACGTTGAACTTTTGTTTCTTCCTGTGCTGCCCAGTCATTTGTGACAATGGTGGGACCTGGGACCAAGGCCGGTGCGTCTGCCTCCCGGAATTTTCTGGTGAGCGCTGTCAGGTCCAGAACAAGTGCCGTAACGGGGGCAAATGGGATGGCCTCAAGTGCCTGTGCACCAGCACCTTCTATGGCCCCCTCTGCGAGTTCCCTGTTGAAGAGGTGGAGCTGGGTGAGTTCTAGAGCCTTGCCCCCTGCACCCTCTCCCAGAAGCCCCACTAACTCTCCTTGGGCCCAGCCTGCAGCTGGCCTGCAGGCATTCATGCCATTTTATTCATTCTGTCCATCCCAACCCAAGTCCTTCATAGCCTTCTGTCTCATCTCCTCCTCTACCCCATAACATGCCTCCTCTCTGTGCTCTCCTCCAGAAGGTGGCTAGGACCACACTCCTTCCTGGGATCTCCTTCTGGTCTGGCCTGCTTGGGGGATGCAATAGTTTCCAGTTTCAGCTGTAACAAAGTACTGCAAACTTAGCGACCTAAACAATACAAATCTATTATCTTACAGTTCTGTAGGTTGGGAGTCCAACATGGATCTCACTGGGCTAAAATCAGGTTCTTGGCAGGGCTGCATTTCTTTGTGGAGACTCCAGGGGAGAACTGGTCCCTGAATGGCATGAGTGGTTTGTGATCAGCTGCTAACCTAAAGGTTGGCAGTTCGAACATATCCAGTGGCACCATGAAAGAAAGGACTAGCCATTTGCTTCCATAAAGATTACAACCAAGAAAACTCTATGGATCCATCCTACTCTGTAACACATGTGGTCACCAGGAATTGGAATCAACTTGACAGCAATGGGTTAGGGGAGAATCAATTTTCTTTCCCTTTCCAGCTTCTAGAGGCTGCCTGCATTCCTTGTCTCAAGGCTCTCTTTCTCAGTTTTCAAAGCCAGCAACGTTGCATCTCTCTGTGCGTTTTTTCCATAGTCACATCTGCCTCTGACTGACTATGATCTCGTCTGTCTTCCTCTTCCACTTTTAAAGGTCCTTGTGATTACATTGTGCCCATCTAGATAATCCAGGATAATTTTCCTATATTAAGTTCAGCTGACTAGCAACCTTAATTCCACCTGCAACGGTGATTCCCCCTTGCTATGTAACATAGCGCATTCTCGGATTCCAGGGATAAGGCCATAGACATCTTTTTGGTCATCATTCTGCCAACAAAGGAGCATCCTGACTTCCATTCTCTCCCTTATCTCAGGACAAGACATCCCAGAATTCCTGTTTCCCTCCCTGTTCAGTCAGTCCTCAGGGAACACGGAGAGGGCAGAGGGAGGCACCTCTGGGTGGGGGTGAAGTCAGACAGGAACAGATGGTGAAATGACCAGAGCAGGGCATACTGTGTGCAGACACCGTGGATACTGAAGTGGGCATGGAGGTATCTGTGGACCAGGAGTTCTCCCCCAACCTCAATGACAACACTTCCCAGGCCTACAGGGAATTCAACACCACCTTCCAGAATCAGGTGAGGTGGGGGTTGGAGGTGAACTTAGGGCCTAGGTCCTCCCCTGGAGCTAGGCTTGGGCCCGTGGATGCCCTCAGGCCTGGAGGTTCAGACATGAGCCCAGGTTTCCTTTGCATTTCAGATGAAGATGGTTTACCAAAATGTGCAGGGGTTCCAGAGTGTGGAGATCCTGTCCCTAAGGTAGGAGACCCTTCTGGTGATGTGGCGGAGGTGTGATGGGGGTGGGGGGGTGAGGGAAGAGGCTAGAAAGAAAGGCCAGAGAATCCATTCTCTGCTTTTGGAGTCATCAGATTTCATAAATAGAGGGATGGAGAGAATCAACAGGGAATCAGACCATCAGGGATCTTTGTGGTCTTTCCTGGGGCCATTTCTAAAGAGGGTTGCCACTCCTCCTCTTCAAGCATGTTGGATGAAGGGAGATTGCATGGGGACATGCAGAGGGATTAAAGTGGCACATGAGGGCTGGTGGGAACCCTAGTGCCCAGACTGTTGACTTGGCCCTCTCTGGCTGGCACCTGGTCTGCTGAATGAGTCAGCAGGAGAGAGGCAGAGAACCCAGAAGGGTCTGGTTTGGTGATGGCTTTATGCAATACAAAGAGAACGTGAATCATTCTTTCAGCCTTCCCAGGCTGACAAAGTCTAGGGTGCTGGCAGCCCCTTCTGAAAAGGATGCCCGTGGCATCCCAACTCATTGTCTCTGCCTCTCCCCCCTCTTGCACTTCTGGCTGGTCCCGGAGTTGCCCTTCCAAGGACGTTATCTGCCCCAGGTCTGTGCACCCTCTAAGGCTCCCCCCTCCCAATGCCCTCAGAAATGGCAGCATCGTGGTGGACTATCTGGTCCTGCTGAAGTTGGCCTTCAGCTCCCAGCTGGAGGAGGAGTATGAGAAGGTGAAGACGTCACTGAAGGAGGTGCTCCAGAATGCCAGCCAGGAAGGGGCCGGATGCGGGAACGACAGTGAGTGGAAGGGCCTGGGGCTGGTGGAGGGCCCCAGGCTCAGAGCCACCACCCAGCCTGCTCCAGCTCAGGCAGAGGGCCTTCTGGGCTCAGGTGCCAGTCCTGTGGTACCTCAAGCAGGTGGAGAGAAGGGGCACAGGTCCACACCCAACTGGGTCAAGGGTGGGGCTGGGGAGGGGCTCACCAGACCCTGGGCACTGGGGAGGAGACCCCCTGACAGTTATGCTCCCTGTTTCCAGGGTGGCTGGTAACTCCTGATTATTACAAGGAGCTGAGGGAGGGAAAAGGAGTTCTCCCCATGGTCCCTTCATGTCCCCCATATGGACAGAGCCCTCTCTGCCCCAACCCTTAGCCTGCCCTTCCTCCCTGGCCTCACCCCTTTCTCTCCTCTCCATTCTGTCTGCACCTGTCTTCCTAGCTCTGTGTTTTAAGCCTGACTCCATCAAGTTGAACAACAACAGCAGGACAGAGCTGACCTCGGAAGGTGAGTGTGTGGCAAAGTGCTGAGTGGCCCCAGGAGGCCATGACACCTCCTACCAGGGACATCTGCCCATTGAGGTTCCCTGGGGAGGTGGCGGAGACCTTGTGGAAAGGCAGTCATGTGGTCCAGGGCTGCCTCTGACCTTTGTTAGAAGCTTTCAACTGAGCAGGGAAGGTGAGGAGAGACTGAGGGGCTGGGCCTGCCTCCCCTAACCTAATTCCAGCCTCTACCCCACAACACCCCGCCCTCGGAAATGTAGTCCTCCCCATCCATTTTTTTTTTAAATTGATGTAATTAAATGAAGTTTACATTTCAAGTTAGTCTCCCATACAGAATTTTTTTTTTTAACATACATTGTTATGAGACCCCAATCGCTCACCCCCATTCTGCCACAGCACACTCCTCCCCTCCGCCCTGATTCCGCATGAACATTCAACCAGCTCCTAACTCTCTCTGCCTTCCCATCTCACCTCTGGACAGAAGCCGCCCCTTTGGCCTCTTGTATCTACTTGACTAAGAGGCACATTCTTCACGAGTATCACTTTATGTCCCACAGTCCAGTCCAATCCCTGTCTGAAGAGTTGGCCTCGGAAATTGTTTCAGTTCTTCCCCATCCATTTTTAGAGTCATTATAACCAGGCCCCGAATACATGAGGTAAGGTCCCCGTCTCTCTGCAACCCCCTACCCAAACCCCCAGCCATTTGCCGCCGCGCCGCTCCCGAGGGCTACGAGGATTTCTACTTCCCCTTGCCTGAGAACAACCGGCTTCGCTGCGTCACCAACTGCACGTCGGGCGTGGAAGGCGCCATTGACTGTCACCAGGGCGAGTGCCGCCTGGAGAGAAGCGGTCCCGAGTGCCGGTGAGGCTCGGCCCACCCGCGGGAGCCCCGCCCACCGATAGCCCCGCCCTCGATGCCCCGCCCATTACCCCGCCCCATCCGCCCCATCCACCCAGTTGCCTTAGAGTGGAGCCGGCCCACCCACCAGCACCAGAGGGGGCTCCGCACGACTGGATCGGGTCCCTGGTGGTGGTAACCCTCAGTGACCTGTGGACGCCCCCCGCCCCCTAGCTGCTTCATCTCGGACACGCACTGGTTCTTTGGCCCTCGCTGCGAGGTGGCTGTCCACTGGAGGGCGCTGGTCGGAGGCCTGGCGGCCGCCGCAGCACTGCTGCTGCTGCTGCTGCTCGCGCTGGGCGTCTTCGTCGCGCGCTACCGGAGCAGGCGCGGCTCCCGCGGCGGGTGAGGGCGCTGGGGACCGGGAGGGGAGGCAGGCGCGGGAGTCCCGGAATGGCTGCCCTGACCTGACCTAACGGCGCTCCGACCCAGGCCCTGGACAAAGGACAAGAAATGGGCAGAGATCTGGGATGAGAACACCGTAGGGACTTTTTCAAATGTGGGCTTCGAGGACGACAGAATAGGTGAGCCTGCCTCCCAGGGAGTAAGAGTATGCGGCCTCCCTAGCTCAGGACGGATACCTGCCCAGTGGGAGGGAACGTCTGTTGCTGCTTCCCTGCGCCCCTCCTGCAAAGGCGATCCCCGCAGGGCGGGTGAGAGGAACAGGAACCCTTTGAGACCTGCCTTCCTCACTTTTCCTCCCCCTCCCCTCTTTTCCTTTCTAGTCGAGAAAGAAAACTACCAGTTGGTATTGGAGAACGTAGACACCAATGTGAAGGTGAGGGGGGCAAAGGGGAGGATGCCAAGGAACTCTCCCAGTTCCAGATGCCACTCCCCCCCTCCACCCAGGGGCAGGGGCTGGCTGCTTAGGACCAGGAGGCAGTGACCTCCCATCCAGCCCACGCAGGGTTGGCACCTGCTCTCACTCCCCTTTCACACCTGCTCTCTGGCAGGTGCAAATCCAGAGGCCTGAGGTGACCTTCACCTCCTTATGAGGCCGGTAGGGGCCTCTTCAGCACGGCTCCACCCTGGCCCAGGACAGCAGAAAGGAGCCATCTGCACTGTGCCCATCTCCAAGGACTTGCGCAGCCTGGGCTCCTAGTAGCCTTAGGCAACATCAGACTGTCCTTTGGACCCATTACTCCCAACTTTGCTGAAACCCACCTGGAGACCCAATTCAAACCCAGGCCCTTCCACTGTGGCACCTTGAGCAAGTCAGTTAATTTCTCCAAGCCTCAGTTTCATCACCTGTAAAATGGATACAACACACTAGTCCTGATACTTTGTGTGTTACTGTGAAAACCGGAAGACGGACTTGGTCAGTTCTCTGTTCCAATCCAGCTTCCTGTCTCAGTCCTTCTGCCCATATTGCCCCTCCTGATCCCCAGTCCCGCATCCTTCCCCTGCTCTCAGGCCTTAGTCCCTATTTTCCTCTTTGCTTCCTTACTGCGGGAACTTCACTCCACACCTATAGCCAGCCTGCAGCCCCATCCCATCCTGGTGACTTCTCCTCGTATAACTCCTTACTGTGCCCCTTACTCCCTTTTCTTAATTCTTCTCCCCCTCCTGACCCATTCATTAAATCACTCCCCCCCAACCCTAGCCCCAGCCCTACGTCTTCTCCAGTTTCCATATTTTCCCCTTTCCCCATCCTTGTACCCTCAGCCCTAAATCCTTCCTTCCCCCATCCCAGTGCCCTAGTCATAATTCCTCCCTCCTCCACCCACACGCCTATCCTGAGCTAGGAAAGATACCCTCTGCTTCTTAGGATCCCCCAGCTGGCACTCCCCAGGCCCTCCCTGATCCCCTCATTCTTGGGATCCGTCCCTTCCTGTCACTCCCAAGGTCTTCTCACTTAG